ACCCACAGGATCTACTAGGGAGATATGACAACTCACAAGATCTATCAGTGAAATGTTACAATAGAAGTGATTTCAGAAGACAGACCAACTATAGAGGTAAATTTCACCATTCTTAGCCCACTGCTCTGAAGTATAAATCAGCTGGCTTTCTAACTTACCTGTGACAACCAACTGCCTTAGCATCTCTTGTGAATGCTTACTCCTTACACCTCATGTGTCAGAAAACATGAGACCTTCCTCTTAGATTTCTGTTTCCTAGGTTCTCTCCTACACTTGTATGAAAATAGGCCACTCGCTTCATCTGCAAAAAAACGAACATTGGTCTTGCTGACTTATATTTATTATTCACTTTGCTCCAGCCATTTCACATGATCTCATAGAAGCTAGATCAGGTTGGGTCATGAATAGACGCTTGCTTTCTAAATCTACTTAACTCTATAAACAAAGCCTAAGGAATTGAATGGGATCAAACTCTGGGTCGGCACAGGACAGGTTTACAATCGGTCAGTGCTAACTGCCAACATTTTTTTTTACTATCTAAATTCTGTTAGAGCAGCCAGTTTTTTTTGGAGGCCTCTGATACAACACTGCAGGAGTTATCAAGAAAACAACTTCCCAAGTTAGAGAAAGAGGAAGAAATGGAGTAAAAGTTTCACTGTCTGTTGGATGTATCAGGAGAAAATTAAAATCATAGATTTTATGGGAGATGAAAGAGGAAAAAAAGTTGCTGTTTGCCTCTAATTAAAAACGTTGACTGTTAGTGCCTACTGGAAGACCATATGTCTTGACTGGGAAAGAAGAGGCAGGAGAAAGTCTGACTTGTTCCCAGCTGGAGCTAAAAATCATATAGAACGCTTACTGGCATATATACTTTCACTAATGATGTTCTCCCCTCATTTATCTGTTCTATAGTTCTGAAATTAGTATGTATAGTAGCACACAGTATGCACAAAGAGTTATCTAAGGTTGAGAGAAATAAAAAAACAGGTATGCATGCTCTTCTAAAAACCTATATAGCAACCAATGCATAAGTATACTGGTTTTATACAAATGTTAAATAAAAGTTCAGCTATTTGCTTCTACTTTTCTTTCAACTTGCCCAATTTCAACACATTAAAGTAGGGCCATGGCAGTTTCCTTTTCTTACTCCCACGGTCATCTTTTCTCTAGCTAAAACCTCAATTATCTTGTTCACTTAAAATGAAGAAGGCTTTCTATATGGACATTTAAAAGATTTTCAAATTGGCCCTAATTCCCATTGCATTCACAGTCAGATGCACAGTTGTCTTACACTGTCCTGGTAACCACAGCTTTAACTAATCATACTTAAACCATATTCAAAAAAATGGTTAGAAAGAAAGGTAATTTTGCCAAAGACAGCAGGGCAGAATTTGAGATCCTACTTTCCTACGGAAACTTCAGAGTATACTACACTCCTGACAGCCATTCTGCTTAACTCATAAACATAAATATATTTAGGAGTTTAGTTTCAGATGTCTATTCTCTTATTACACTAGTTTTTTATTATGTTAGTGGAGAGATGTTCGGGATAAGTGCTACAGTTATGTCATACACAGCTTACAATGTTTTTAGTTTTACAAACTGTGAACACACTTGTCACTGGTAATCACAAATAAACAAAGCTGATTTATATCAGCTCTAAGACTTTTCTTCTACCTTAATTTTAGTAGAAATATTTGTTACAGATTAACTATAAGTGTGTTCCAAACATAGAAATAACCTGTTTGTTCACTTTACTAGCTAAATTTCCAGTAAGCTTCCACTGAAAGTCTAAAAAGGAAGGTGGCATTCTAAAATCTGTAAAATGGCAGTGTCATCAAATACTTGTCATAGTGTTTTATATGTAAACAAAAATCCCTCAAATTAAACTAGCACCAATATTTTCCTCACAGTTTGCTGACAAAGTCAAACCCTTATCAGATGGGCACACCTTAACTTTGAAGCTATACAACTGCTGATTCATTAACAGATATTCTGACTTCTGTAAAAATCTCCTTTTCATTAGTGTGTGAAGAGGGATGTAGTGAAGTGACCATTACCAATGTGCGAAACAAACTGCTGAGGTTCTTATTCAGATGTTAAACTATCACTTGTAAGTTGGACTTAAGAAACCTGTCTAGTACACAGTCCACATTATGATACAATGAGCATCTTTCCTATGGGCAATTCCTATGCATTCTACCAGGTATATTACAAATACAGCACTTCGCTAAATAGCTTCTCCCCCAGTACACTTTTTAGGGGAGATAAAAGTTAACAGAAACTTTCCATTGAAACTGGAACTCTATTTGGAAGTATTCAGCCAACAACAAAGATTCAGAATAATATACGAATGGTCATGTTCCAGCTAGTCTAATGAAGGATTTTGTTGCAGTTCTTGGAACAGTTTGAATAACATGTTTAATCAATCCATAAGAAGCCTGACCTGTGTGTTTCTAACACAGGCAATAGATACCTTAGCAGTACAATAATGAGACAATGCCCTTGCTCTCCTGTAAGTCTTAGGGCACCATGTTCAATGGAAGACCACGAAGGGAATACCCTACATCTGACTCCCTGTGGTAGAAAGAGATTAAAAAATAAACAAAAAATTAAAATAAAAAATAGCTGATCTACATGTATCAATGTAACTCAATATATATACTGATGGAGCTCACTCAGGTCCTGCCTTTTTCATTCAGCCTCTGCAAAAGCCCCTGATACTGCACTTGGTTTAACAGAGCTGAACAAAGACTTGTTAACTTTGTGGGCTGCTATAAGGTTGGCTTTCCAGCTGGTCTGGATGAGATTATTGTTCCATTGCCTTTTGCCAGCAAGTACATGAATTTCCTAGAATCTTTCTATGCTTTCAGCAAATGTTTGTTGAAGGGGCCAGCTCATCCTTAATTTTGACAGCTAGCCTGTGCTAATTAGTGAAAAAGTACAGAGTATGGTACTAGGCAACCGAATTTACACTGTTGCCCTTATCTCAACTTCTCTATAGAGAAGGATTATTTAACGAACTGTACACTTCTGAAATTTTAGTCTTGTACAATGCCAGAGGCTTTCAATGATTATGTATATCTTGCACTTTAAAGACAGGAATGAGGAAGATGCAAAACTCTGAAGAACCAGCATGGGAGCAGGATTCAGACAGAAAAGTAGATAAAGCAGATGTTTTGCATTCTAGGAAGCTAACAATAAGATAAACAAATCTTTTATTTGCTCATGGGTAGTCTCCACAAAAACTAGGAAAGCAAAGTTAGTGTGTCAGAGTGTAAAGTCAGAACACAGCAAAGTTTAGAAATCAACAGGATTGTAGGATGGAAAAAAAGATTAAGTAATCCTGTAGAAAATAATTCATCATCATACATTAGTATAGAAAATATTGCAACAATCTATCTGAAGTTGTATTTAGTTAAGCTATATTTCATGCAGGGTCTGATAAGTACTTCTATTTCTTGCATATTGATTAATAGAAATGACTGCATGAAATATAAATTCATATTACCTTGGAGAGATCTTATCCATCAGTGTGAATACATATTTCAGAGCTGTTTCAGAAAAGGGTACAATTCTCAGACTTGCATTTGCATAATGATGTTGAATTTATTTTGAAATGTGTATTACACTTCTATTTGGCACATAGGACCATATCCTCAGAACTATTTTGAAAATTAACTGCAAATTCACGAATCAGGATATCTTAGGAATCTAAGGAATCAGGATATCTCAGGAATCTAAGGATATCTTAGGAAAGAGCCATATCAACTGTGGTGAGTATTTATTATTGACTGATTATGGGCATGTAATTCAGAACTTCTAGGCTACTGAGAGAGAATCAGAATCAGTGAAATTTCCTCTAGTTTCAAAGTCAGTTGTTTTTAAATGGCACTTCACATGAGGCTTTTGGTATCCAAAACAGTCTATTCAGTAGCGTTGAGAGACACTGCAATGCTGCTAGTCAAAATACTTTTCCTGGGATGCCCTTTTGTTAACACAGTGTTACAGAGATAGACACATCCCAGGCCCCTATTATGAAAATCCTACAGCATGGGGTACTTTCATATAGACATAATCCTGGAGGATTAGGATAGGATCCAAGGACACCAGGGCAGCGATCATGACACAGCAAAGCATGCAACTAACTGTAGAAGCACAGGAAGGAAAAGGTGTGTCTTGCTTTTGTGGTGACTCTGTTTGTACGCAAACAAATGGGGCATGCAGCTCTTCTAAAAACTGATCCACCATGTTCAAGCTTTCTAACCCTAAACTTTAACAACTTCCATTGCTAACTGACAATTTTTCAGTTGTTCACTAATCAGGGCATATATCTAAAGAAGTCCTTTCTTCAAATAACATTTAAATTGTTTGCTATCACTGTATAGATATGTATTTTGAGAAAGAACGGCCAAGAAAACAAACTAGTCATCACTGGATTTCAATTAACAAGTACCAACATGCATTTTAGTATATGATATGAAAATGCTTTGGCTTCATTTAATGTTTTACAATCAAAGGCAAAGACAATTCAGACTTTTTTTTATATATATACTTAGTGCATTAGGCTAGTAAAATAAAAAGTCTGCAAGCTTTTCCAGAATCAGCTAAACCAAATAAGAAACACTGAAGTTCTGAAAAACCTAACAAATGGCATGGACATTCTCTTTTAACCAGCCTCTCAGTGGAAAACAAGCATAGATTTCTAAACTTTATATATATTAAGAATGACCTTTGTCTAACTACTAAATTAATCTCAAAGAATCCTTAACATAAAAAAGGCACCACAATTATTACAAACCTGATTTACAAGCAAACTTGTTTATAAACAATCTTAACTTCCTTCTATGATAGCTGTACTTCATACCAGTGAGACAATTTTGCTAGTTTGCTATATTCATACTTGTTTATGTCTGAATATTGATTTTGAAGAAGAGCAATGTGCGCAAAATGAACAGTATTTACAACAGTAACTATCATTAGTTCTAATCATCACTTACTCTTGATCCTTTTTCTGGAAAGCACCGACAAACTGAACAATCCTGTCCCCGACATGGGTCAATATATGCATATCCTCCCTAAAATTAAAAGTTTATGAGTTTATCAACACGTAACAGACAATAATCACTTCATCAAATATTGTCAACTGGACGTATTATCCAGTTAGAAGATTTTTAATGAAAAAGATTTGGCTACCCTTGCACACCCACAGGTATGACACATATGAACCTTTTCCAATTCTTGCTTAATAGAATACACACATCAATACTACATTTAAAATCCTCCTAACCTTCTTGGACCTCTCATCAGCATCAACATGCTGGCAAAGTAGAAGCAATACGCAAAAGCTTATTACTGTTGCTGTAGAAGGTGAAAGACATTACCTGCAAGTTATGTTAAGTAATGCTAAATATTACAGATAAATACAACTAAGGAATTAGGCTGCATCTAGAAAAATTTTAAGAGTCAGAATTAAATTTGTAATCATGCAAAATTTGTAGCCCATCAAATTAGGTTACGAGATTGTTTAAATAGAATTAAATGATAAAAGGCAAAACAGGCTGAAGAGCAATCAGCCACTCAGCGATAAAGCCTTGTATTTAATTATTGTCTATTAAATTAGTGTACACATACTGTAATTATGCATTGCCCACCATTAATTTGATTGTATAAAAACTTTCTGTCATTTTCCTCTTAACAGCAAAGAAGTGACTACTTTGTTTCATCAAATTGCAATAAGGGGAAAAAAGCATATTCAAGGAGAAACTAAAACATCATAAAATGTAAATTCAGTAGGTTTACTGTGTGGTAAATAAACATTATTTTATTATTATTTTCTATTTCCCAAAGTGTAGTATTAAATATATACCAATCATACACACCATAAGCATTTATAAACTCACTTAGGTGGCTGGAATTTCCAGAAGGCTGGAATGTCCACTAAGGGACATGTTTTTTTGGCAAAATTGTGTAAATGATCAAAGTCGTTTCAAAAAGGATGACAAGGACTTAAAAGATTTAAGAATAATTTAGGTAAACAAGTAAACTGTGATAACATGAAAAATATTTGCACAGTGTGTATTTCATTTTTATCAAGGTCACCATTGGTTTTTTTACTGGTTTTAACAACCAACAGAACGCTGTAGGTTCATACTTCAGTTTTTCAAGGAGAAAACACTGACAAATATCAGATAAGGAGGAAAATTTCTGTGTTTTCTATCTACAATATTTTCAGACTATCTGGTACTCCCAACCTCAGAACAAGAGGGTACGATGGTCTCTCTCACAGACTGCTTCTCTTTCACACACTGGATTTCCCATGAAATTCCTAATCTACTCCACACTAGTCTCTCCCCTAGTTATTAAAAACTTGCCTCTACTGGAATGTCAATGGAATGCAAGTTTCTAAGAACACATAAGCTGTTACCCTTTGTTCTAATTGAACACATTTATTTTTAAAAAATATTTCAATATTCAACAGTTCAACTACAAAGGTATGGCTTTGGGGGGAAAAAACAACGAAATAGACCTTTTAAATATTTAAAAGAAACAAAGAGGATGGACTTAAAAGAAGTTTCAGTGAGGGCATTGCAAACATAGAGTTAATATTGAGGACAGTACCGAAAGGAAAATAAAGTAGATATTGAGGCTATATTATATGTGAAATTTTGGCTTCAGAGAAATGGGAACATACAGGGAGGCTAGTTTAGGATCTAGGCTAACATACAGACAAGGGCTTGAAAGCTAGAGTTTGATATGTGCCATAATGCAGAGCCGTTGAAGGGACTTAAAAAGGAAGGAGACAGATTCAGTGCATGAGAGAGGTTTTACCATGCAGCTTTCCAAAAGGATCTAAATATGTCAAAATTAGAATCTAGAAGAATCCAAAGGAAAAAATTACAAAATCGTTAAGCTGAAACAGAAAAGAAAGTTAGAACTGCAGAAACGCTGAAAGTAACAGCAGTTTTCCCACAGAACTATAGGTCATTTTGGTGTACAGAGTGTTACTTGTTTGAACTATACCATCCTGTCTGTCACATGTGCAAGGTAAATATCAATATCACTTACCCCATCAATTTCTTGTGCTGCGAAAACAATCACCAGCCACCTGATTTAGAAGGAGAAAGTTAAATGAAAACTAAACTTCCAACATCCAACTTTCACACAAATTTAGCCTCTAAAAAGACAGAAGTGTGTACACATGATAAAGTCCTGTTTGAGGTGATTATATAGTTAAAGAGTGTATTTATAAGGGGTATGCACCAATAAGAAGTGGTCAGCATGTTCTATATATATTTGTCTTTTTGGATTTGTGAGACTGGGTACAAACAGATAGGCATGAATAAGAGTATGTAAAAGTCCTTGTAACTTTCCTGTTCTAAATTATTTCCAGTCCCACAATTAGGAATGGCCAGGGAGGAATTATTCCAGGCAGATCTCTGCCCTTCCATAGACACCATAGGGTGAAGATTGAGCAGAGATGGAGGTGATCTGCATCTGCCCCAAAATGAGTTAGATGGTGCTGTTTTATTTTGCTCAGAGGGAGAGCAAGAGAAGGCAGGGAGCAAAGCAGCACTCAAAATAGCCTCATGATTCCAGAGCAGCTGCTGGGGAAGCCCAGGTCCATGCCAGCCATTGCTAGTGATGGATTATGAAGCTGAAAGAATGTCTTTTATGATTTCTACACGCAAAAAAAAGAGGGTAAAGTTAAAAAAAAAAAAGGTAGCAATATAGAAAATAAGCATCATTAATACTAACATTATTATTAATGAGAACTAAAGTGCTCACTTATTATATTAAATAATAAATTAAATATGGCCATAATGTGTAGACTATGGTTTATTATTCTCCGGGATATAATGAAGCCTGTATCAAAATTACTCCAACCTTGCAAATATTTAGGCATATAGCAAATTTCCCAAAGTCCTGTTGAGATCAACCTGTTTTTTCTTTGCTATTCACACGGTCAACTCTTTGGAGCACTGAGAACTGTGCCAGCAAACCCACGATTACTTTCCCTGATTATTAATTATTCATAGATTCAAATGGCAAATTATGTAACCTGTATATGCACTGATATATATTCATAAATTCAATACCAACAAATTTAATGTAATGATCCCATGCACCACTTTGAAAATACCAGGCCAGTTATCCTGATCTTCTCCTATGGATCGTTCTCCTCCAGAGAGAACTCCTGCCACAGCTGCTAGCAGGTATTTCCATCATAGGAAAACAACTTCCATAGAAGTTTTCTTCATGCCTTTTAATAACTCTGCTTCATCTGCAAAATTATTCTGGGACAAGCATTCAGGTTTGAGTTGGTCATTACTTTTTCTTCTCCAAATACATTATCACTAGAATGAAGGAATATCTTGCTTCTTAAAACGGAGTCAGAATTATAGTTCCTGTTTCCTACTATTTAAATAGTATAGTACCTCAAATTTAAATGGTATAAACTTATAGACCAGTAATCAAAATCCAATACAATAAATTATCATACAAGCTTACTGAATTTATGACAGGCTACAAATTATTTAACTGGTGATTTCTTATTACAGTTAAATTGATAGCTAAGAATATATCTCAGTGACTCTAGATAAAAAAAATTCTGATCTGTAAAACTCACCAGGCAGCTGTGATAAGCCACTTAATCCGTTCAAACAAATCCTTTGTTAATGCCATTCAGACTGATTGAGGATCTGTATACGCAGCACTTTTGTTTTTCTCTTTTTTTAAAAAAACAGCAAGTCTTCTCTTTCCTTCTGTTTGTGGATGGTCTATAAACACTGTTCCATGATGTTGTTGTTTTCCCCTCTGAACCTGTTTATATTAAAATATACATCTGATGTATAAATATGAATAATTACCGGATAACCAAAATATGTCTTAACCATTTATAAGTCATACTGCACAGCTTTATGTTGGCGCTACATTGTATTATTCCTATTCATGCTGCATTTTATTTTATCAGCAATCCAATTTTTTAAAGGAGACTATATATGAAATTACAGATCAACATGAAAAGGGTACAAGATTTCAGCCTAGAAAAGAGATAGCCTTCACTCAGTGTCTGAAATAATGAACAATGAGCATCTTGCATCATTATTTCTTAAAAAGCTATCATACTTACCATTTTAGCTAAAGGCATTAAAAAAAAAGTGACACCTGTGTACAGTAAAGACCCAATGAACTTAAAAAAAAAAAATCAAGAAAATATTGGCTATCCTTTCAAGACAGTGTCTTCTGCAAACTGGGCTGGACCAGTGTCTGTGTGTGTACATCTGAGCAAACGAGGACTACTCATTGCAGTATAAGTCACACACATTTTCAGTTCAGGAGTTCCACCCACATGCATGGATAGATGACAATCATTGGAAACCTTACCTAGATTTTTTTTTAGCTTTATTTTTAGACCATTTTTTCCACAGCTTTTGCCAGGATGTAGGAAGCTGGAAGCCCTAAGTGCAGGACTGACCAGAGGCCTCTACAGTCCCAGACAGTCAAATTTTGCACACATAAATTACCTACATAGTGCATCTGTCACCCTCTGACTTAGGTCCAACAGTATACATGCAGTTTTATGTGCAAACATACTGCACCAAGCTTTTTGTAAGCTCAAGCTTTACAAATTCAGAGAAACGGCCGGCTCCTGTGCAAACTTTTACATCCTCTAAATAAGAAAAAAGAGCTGTAATCCTTTGGAATAAGGCACATCTGGCAAATGATTCACTGTGGTTATTTCAAACTGAGGATTTGAGAAGCTGGGCTTTTCCTAGGATAGCACAGATTATCACAGGCTTTGAATTTTTAGTGCTGTTGTCTTCCAAATGCAGGGAGGTTAATTTTGAGGAGACTGAATGCTTACTAGAGTGAACTGACAGGGCTTTGCTTGTAACACACACACAACTACCGTTCAGTTGGCCCATGCTACTTAGAAGTGAGCTGCACAAGGTCACTGAAATAGGTGGTACTGGGATGTCTGGGCTCAAAGAGGACTTTTTTTTAAATGCTCTGTCTTTCTGTTGCATCTCCCTTGTTAGCACTTTCCCATGTTTGCTTTGAGCTTGCTAACTTCTTTTTTTGAAATTTCCACACAGGGTTTTCATCATCTGAAAACTGACTCAATACGTTTTTATTTAGCAGTATTTCATTCACTAGGTATTCTGCATGTATTCATTGATTTCTCCTAACAGTGGTTTGCCTGCTTTCTTCTGTTTCTTCCAATATTTCTTTGGCCTAGTATTCAAGAGCTCTCCTTTTAAGTACTATCTTCTTTACTCAATAAGAGTCATACTGTTCATTCTGCATCTAAATTTGCATAATTTCTGAGGACTGACTACTCTCTTCCTGTAGACTGTAGTCTCGCTTGCTCTGACCTTGTTGTTTCAGAGAACCTCGCACCTTTTGTTTTCCCTTTTGTGTAAATGAGTCTCTGCTCCCTTCTGTCTAACATCAGTTCTTCTAATGTTAAATTTCAGTGGTGGATTTAGGCACTTACAATGTATAGGTGCTTATGGTTTATAAACAACTGTAGACCCCCTTTTTGTCCTTACTACAGTATTCTTGCATTAAAAATGTAGCACTATTACAGTTGACAGGTTTAGGAATCTGACAAATGAAATGCATCAGTTTAGTGGTTTTATCCCTAAGATGCTGTTTCCTCTACATGGTCACCACCAATCTGTCTTGAAAATGGGATTTTTTTTCCCCCTTTCTCTCTATACCTGCCAGCTTGCTCTCACTGATACTTGACATTTTAGAGCCAAGGTGGTAACATCTGTGAGGACGTACAAGATCTTTGACACTGAACATATTGCTCTGCTCTTCCAGAGATATGTTCTTGCTGCTAGTACCAGACTTTTGTAAAAAAGAGCCTCTACCAACTAGCTTTCACAGGGGATTTCATAGAGGGTTAATAGTAATGTCTACTGAATGGAGATCCAGCTCTACTCTCATGCGGGCAAGACAAGCTTTTTTACAAAGATCTGTGATTAGCTTTATGCTCATGAAAGGCTTTAGATTTGTATCTCATGAGTAGTCCTAAATAGATTTGTATATATATATTATATTGTTGTATATTGTTGCTTTTTCTGTATCACCTGTAATGCTTAACAAAACCTGTAACACGGGATTTCCTGTGCAGCATTCACAGCCTCTCCAGTTCAGGTAAAATTCCTGTGGCTGGCTTGGCCGACGTACTTTCTAAGTTTGCACCATCTCAGAACAGCACTTTATTTGGTGAGACACTGCCTTGAATGTGCAGTACTTTTGTCAATAATAGAAATGTGGTAAACTTTACGCACTGACAACACTTGACAAATCACACTTCCACTCAGAAAAACTTCATATCATGCTATATAGATCACTGATTTACATTTATGCAGTGGACAGCACCTTCTCCCTTCTGGGACCTCTTGGTC